TGTATAATTCAACATTTCCTTTATGTGTACTTTATATTTTGATAGATATTTTTTATATATGAGCAAATCAAGTTTTTTGGTGTTTTTAAAAAGATAAAAAAAATAATTTTATATTTAGAAATAATTGTGTTCTATTTTTGCTATCCACCGATTTTTTACCATCCAGTCATACGTTTTTATTGTAGTATTTTTATTAAAACATCATTACTAATTATTAAATAGTATAATATAATAAATATAATTATAATTATATTTATTATATTATAATTACAATGAAATAAATTATAGTAATTAAATACTATCTATTACTATATAATACTATATATAATTAATTCATTTTATAACAAAACAAACTAAAAAAAGTAACCCTTTTATATCATGCTAAGATTTTGTGTAGAAGGCAGTGATTTTCGATATGAAGAGTTGCAAAATTATATCAAGAAGTTTGAAAATGCGACATGTGACATGAAAACAATGAATATGTGTCACGTAAATGTTAGATCCAGAAAATACGCTAAAACAATCAAGAAAAATATAGCTGAAACGAAACCCACATATTCTCAAGTGCGTGTTAAAGCAGTAAATAGTAATAATTTACATTATTTAACTTTATATAATTTGCCGGATGGGACTACAACAGAGCAAGTGCGTAGCTTTTTACAAGAATTTTCAATTGGGGAGATTACTGTATTAGAGAATGTGCCTTTAATCACTATAACTACTCCGTCATATGCCGATTCGAAGAAAATTCCTCCACAAATTAGTTTGGAGAAGTTTGGCAATGCGAAATTAGTATATGAGGGCTTACTGAGTTCGGGGTGTCAGTACATGCCAAATACTATTTGCGACAAGATTGACGCAAAACATATAGAAAATGCACAACAAGAATTTCGACAAATAATTGAAGAAAGTACTCAACAAGAAGTGACACAACAAACACTGCAAGTAAACGATTCAAACAACACACAACTACAAACAACACAAAAAGTGAAATGCTCTATTTGTGGGCAACTGGGGCACACACACCAAAATTGTACTTGCACAAAACAGCAACAAGAAGAACTTGAAAAGTTGCGACAAGAAAATTTGAAAGCAAATGAAGAAGGAAAGACTGAAAAGATAGAAAAGAAAGAGTCTGGCGTTGTGAGAGAACACCCAGAAAAGACTCCTCAAACAACTGATACACATAAAAAGGCAATCGATGTCAAAACGGAAGTACTTGTAAAGGAAATACTCAAAGAAACGGAAATTGAACCAAATAACTGAACACCTTAACACTTAAAATAACACTTTTATTATTGTTTTGGCCTGTTATTATAGAAATATACAATTGAATAAAAAACAGTCAGGGACTAAATAATTGTAAGAAGTAAAATTAATAGTTTTAAAATTTTAACACTTTAAATAACATTGAACAAAATTCAAGTGGTCTAAAAATCGGGGAAATATCAAGTTTATTAAATAAATTTCCGTTTTTTAGAGTTTATATTATTTGCATAAACAATACACAAGCCAAAAAAGGAAAATTATCAAAAATTGAATGAATATCCCTCGAAAAACAAGTCAAAACAAAAATAAGGGCGTTATTTTAAGTGTTAAGTCTTATTTGGTTGTTTTTGTTTTGTAAATAGTTAATTTTTTTTTCAATTTTTATCGATTTTAAATATATTTAATCCTAAAAATGCAATAATTATCTAGTAAAATAAAGGAATTTCTCTTCTAATTAACGAAAATTGTCTTTTTATTTTTGAAAATTATCCAAAATATCATAAATTATCCCAATTTCATCCAATTATTTACAATAAATGTAATCATCTAGACATAATAGATAATTAACTTAAATTATTAAATTTTATCAACAATATTATTCAACATTAGCTTTATTAAAATGTAATTATCCACATTTTATTTAAATCAAAAATAAAAACAACAAAAATGTTTATTTATAACATTTTTTATACTTTAAAAATTAATTATTAGGTTGACAGGATATTTTCAATAATAAAAAATATCAAAAAGAAACCAACTTATAAATTATCTCGACTAAAAACTTTCTGCCACACCGTATTTCTGCAACGCTCTAACGAGGCTACAACATCTGAGGTTTCAATTGAAATGAACGCATTACTAAGTTTTTCCAGTAAAGATTCAAGTGTTGTCCATGTACGTAAACTGTTTTTCAAAAGTCGGTACTGTCATATTTTTAGAACTTCCTAATGTCCCGTATTTTTTTTATTTTTTTTTCCTAAAAAAAATAAAAAACAAAAAATCGAAAGTACCGACTTTATTTTGAAAAAAATACCAATCCCGTTCAATTATTTTTGTACTAATTCGGGAAAGTGTTGGAATATTAGCCAGCCTTTTCCAAAAAACCCGATCCCGTTATTTGATTTGACCTCAATTCGATACTTCGCGAAATTTACACAGTATTGTTGGTTTAAAAGCACAAAAATTAACGTTTAAGTAAATTGGATGTTGTTGTTTGTGTCGAGTTTTAACTGAATATTACTCTCTGTAAAAAATATTTTCAATTAAAAACAAACTATGATTATCTTCTCTGAATAAAAAACAATGAAATAAAGAGTTCCAAAACCACCAAAAAATACAACAAATGTTTGATAATGCTGACAGACACAAGTCAAAGAGCAACACAAGAAAAAACGATCAAACAATAGAACAATAATTTTTTGTTATTGGATATTTTTAAAAATAATGTTCTCTTTTAAAACTCAATATCGGAAGTTCTCTGTCTTCATCAACACCAGTTTTTCCTCTCATAAAATTTGTAATAGACGTAATAGATGGAACGATCTTGTTTTTCTCTTCCATTTTTTCTTTGTCTATTCCCACAATAATTTCGGATTTAATAATTTTCCATCTGTAATTACAATATTTTTGCGTTTTTAAAGTGAGAAAACAGTTAATTATAAAGTAAATAATAAAGTTTAGAAAAATTGTAATATCTAAAACATCGTATTTATTAAATCATTACATTGTTTACAAAAAACAAATATATACTTTGGCATTATTTTTATGTTAAAAATGTGTTATATCATTTTTATATAAATTACCTATTATTGATAAACATGTTAATAAACGTCAATGTTGTTATAGTTTACAAAAATAGATTCAATGATTATAATTTAAAACTAATTGTAATCAACAATAAATAATATAAATTATTTTTCAAATATTTTAACAATTTATTTGTTATTATTTAAGTTATTATACTTATATTGTAAAAAAAGAATTGATATAAAATGTTTAAAACATCTTATTTTGTCATATAAATTAAAAAACAATTCAACAACAAAGATGTTTGAAAAGCCGATAACTTGTTATTGTTGATAGTGTTTTTATTCAACCTTTTAAAGCAATATTCGATAGACTCGATACCAAATCTTCAATATTCAATCTTTTTGATTGTTCATGTTCCCAACATCTTTGAATAATTTCATAAGAGTTATCACTCATATCATCCTTTTTATCAAGACGTTTTCCTTCAATTACAAATTCCGCAATTGTCCATGGAAATTTGAATTGTGTTTTTGGATATGCCTGACACCACCCAAAACACTCAAACATAGTGATACCAAGTGAGTACACATCAGCAGATTTCTTGTACTTTTCCTTCTTAAGTATTTCTGGTGCCATATACACTGGTGTACCAATACCTTTAGTGAATGTCATATTCGTCATCAACATATTGATATTTCTAGCACTTCCAAAATCAGTCAATTTAGCATTCACTTTCTCGTTTATATCAAGTGAAATAACAAGAATGTTGTCTGGCTTGATATCTCTGTGTAAAATGCCATTTTCGTGTAAATATTCAATTCCCTTTGAAGCATCTAAGATGAATTTTATTCGTAAATGCATTTCAACTTCATTGGATTTTTTCTTATTAATCAAGTCCTGTAAACTTCCATATTGTGCAAATTCAGTGACCATACAAATTTTGTTTGGTATTAAAACGGTTCCAAAGAAATGGACGATATACTCATTTCGGAATTTGTCTAACATGTCGACTTCATTTTTAAATTCAGAAATGGTTTCTTCTTTATTATCACTTTGTTTCATCTTTTTAATAGCAACTGTATTTCCTCTGTAATTTCCTTTGTAGACAACACCAAAGGAGCCTTCACCAATTTGCTTTGTCTCTTCGAGTTCTCTGGAATTTAATTTGGTTGATTGTTCTGTGTCGACTTCGAATTGTAATTTGTTACTCAAAACAGTACCTGTTACAATGTCAAGAGCAATCACCATAATATTCTCTTTAATTTGACATGAACATAACGGTTTTATAAATATCTCAAATTCACAAGCTTTGCCTTGCTTTAGTGTCACAATTGAAGGCACTGTTCGTATTTCATAACAGTCACACCCTTTAATTACACTAAATTGAACCTTCAAACTATGTTTTGAAGCGTTTCCAATGCAGATTAAGTCACGAGTCTCGGTGTCTACTTTGATAACTTTATCACTATCAATATCAAAGCGTAAAACATTTTTGTTGGAACACAAAACTTCATTCATTTTCTCCATCGTCAAATTAGAACTTTTTATATCGAAAACACAGACATTTTGCATTTGTTGTTTGTGGTTATATCGCTGTAATATAAAAAATAGAATAATTATTAATAAAGTGATTGTTAATATCAATAGTACTACAACTGTAATTGGAATACCTATGACAACACCATATTTAACAGAATCTGTGCAACTGTCACCGGAATCTGTCGGTTCTCGTCGACCTTCACATTTAACACATTTTGAATTTTGCGCTGAAACACAATGTTCTACTTTTGTGAAATGAAGACATTGCAAATTAATGAGAATATATTCTTTCTCATCACATTTAGTGCACACACTTTCAGTATCACATGATATACAATTTGAAGAACATTCATAACACTTGTGATTCGATAAGTAATGACCAGACACACACCTCTCACAGCCAGAGGACAATGAAAATTCACAATTTGAAAGTGTTGTATTTGGTTGACATAATTTGCCTTCACTTGGGATGTTGAAATAGCCGTCTTTGCAAGCAAGACATTCGTAACTGTTCACACAAAGTGAGCACGACTCATCACATGGTGTACAACTAATGCCCTCCCGATAATACCCACTGTTACAGATTGCACATCCACCTCCACCGGGTAGGGCAATGTCACAACTCTCTTGTAACGCACCAAGTGACTTACATGACATGTCAGCACTCAAATAAAAACCGGATTTACATGTTGTGCAGTAAGTTGTGTTGTAACAAGTTAAACAGTTGTTTTGGCATTGAATACACTCGTTGTTGATGTTGTAATAACCATCGGCGCAGTGTTGGCATCCTTTGTTATTTCGAATTAAACAAGTTGTTTCTGTTACTGTTTTACTGCTTGTTTTAAGTTTGTCGTCTTCATCAAATGTTTCAGCACAAATTCCATTTTTTAATTTGAAGGCATCAAGACACTCAACACATTTATTGTTATTTGCACTGTATCTCTTGCAATTTGTGACTGTTGTAGATTCTATTGGAACACAGTAATCATACTTGTTCTCTATATTCTTTGAGTCTGTCTGGTAATACCCCTCATTGCAAACAACACACCCACTTGAGCCAAATGTTTTGCATGTTGATATTTCACTCTTTGATATACACCAAGTGTCAGTGTATTTCACAAATCCATTTAAACATTTGAGACAACTGTTACTGTCACAAAGAGCACAATTGTTTGTTTGACATTGTAAGCACCTTCCTTGTGATAAGTAATTTAAATCAGAAGCACATTTGGTGCAAAATCCATATTTTGCTGTTTGGCAATTTTCATTTGTAACACATTGGTTTGAAGTTGTGTCAAATATATAATTGATTTGACACTGCAATGGTATCATTTTGGTCTTTGATAGTTGGCAAATTGAGACAGAAACACCACAGTCGACACATCGTTG